AGCTGAAGGATCTGCACTGGGGCCAGGATACAATGCTCAAAGAAAGAACTAGAGCTCCCTGCGAAAGAACCAAAGCCATCATCAGCAACAGCAAGCTCGTGGGTTCTTCCAATGATGAGAACAGCCAAGTTCATATCAAGAAAGCCAGTATAGCACACTTCTCCAGGAGAATCAACAGCACCACCTCTTCTCCTCCAGTTTTCTTTTTTTATGCTGTTGGCAACAATCCTCAGGTGGGTCTTCCATATCCATCACCATGCTGATTCAGTTCAGCTGGGTGTTACATGTTGCCTACCAGTGGTTAAGCCATGGAAGCTTTCTATTTCTCATATGTACAGGTTTTTAAAATGCCGTTTGTACTGTCTTCAGATTTTCATTAATTCCAGTTACTCTTATGTTAGTCTTCTTTGAGTTGTCTTGCTAGTTGGATCCATTTTTCATGTTTCTAAGGTATCTTTTATTAACCAGTCACTAACCACAGCTCTGACTTGTATGTAGATCTGACACTCTGTCCTCACATTGGTCATTTCAATTGCCTGTACATTCAATTGTACTTTTTATCTGCTGGATTTCTTTTTTAAATTTAAAATAACAGCTTTATTTAACTAAAATTTGCATACTACACAATGTAAAAACTTAAAGTATAAGATTGTGTAGATTTTAGCACATCGACAGAGTTGTATGACTATGACCACAATCAAACTTAGGTCATTTTTGTTACCCTAAAACAAAGCACTGCCCCCACTGGCTACTGTAGATCACACAGGAGAGAAAAGCTGAGAGGAAAACACCCCTTTTGGCTCTGTAGCTATCCCCACCAAGAGCCCCAATGGCACAATGAACCTGATGAACGAAGAGTGCGGCATCCCCCTGAAGAAGGGAACTTCAGGAAAAGAGGCTTCCAGCTGCATCATTCCAAAGATGATTATCCAGCCTCCTCCTCAATACCAAAGTGTCTATTTGAGCTGCCTTTCTTCCATCCAGATGTGCACCCCTCAGGCACAGCGTGCCTGTCCATCCTGGAGGAGGATGAAACCTGGAGGCCAGGATCACAGTCAGACAGATCTTATTAGGACTTCAGGACCTTCTCAGCAAGACAGAGCTCAAGCAGAGCCCTGCATGGTCCTTAAATGGAATATGAGAAAAGGGTTCAAGCGCAAGCCAAGTTCGTGTCCTTGTAAGCAGTGGCCCTGTGAGTCTGCACAAAGGAAGGGATTGGTTTGGCAAGAACTCTCACCCTCAGCAAATCTCCAGTCTCTCATCCAGTCACTGGGTACTGGGAGGGCTGGGTGGACGTCATCTCCACTCCCACCTCTGGCATACAGTTAGTCTGCCAGAGGTTTACAAGGGCAAGGACTTAATACAGGACACATGCTTCATAAGATTTTATAGTATATTTTATAATATTCACCCAAAGGGGTGAATCATCCTGTTTTCATAAGGCTCTCTTTGCTTAGTCTTTTGTATTTTTTGTTTGTTTTTCTTTTTGTCTTTTTGGGACAGCATTTCGCTATGCATTCATGCTGACCTTAAACTCACTTGGCAGCCCAGGCTCTCCTCGAACTCATGGCAGTCCTCCTTCCTCACCCTCCTGAGTGCTGGGATTACAGGTGTGTACCACCAGGCCTGGCCTTGAAAGTGTATTATTTTTTAAAACTTGCTCTTAACATTGATGTCAGTATGTCAACTGCTATAAAATTATAAACTGTTATACTTGGGTAAATCCCCTAGAGAAAGCTAGTTCTCTGCTCTCTGAGGGAGGCACACTTCATGACACTTGGTTATCCGTAGCCTTCATGACACTTGGTTATCTGTACAGCTGCTTGTACGAGAAGAAAATCATTTGCACTTCATCCATTCTCAAAACCTGGGTTGTGCTGCTTATGAGCCTCAGAACCACAGTCAGCTAACTTCTGAATTCTGATCACTTCCTTTGTGTTACGTGGCTTTTTGTCTGTGTTACTATTTAGAGTAAATAAACTATTTGTATTAAATTTTCTTTTAACTTTTTATCGGTACCAGGGATCAAACTTACTACCGCCTGCTTGCAAGGCAGGTGCTTATGCCGCTGAGCTAAATCCCCAGCCCCTTGTATTAAAATTTTTAAGGACTCCTTTTTTACACTGAGTGTCCATGTTCCACATCTTTATTTAAGCCCACTAGATTTTTATTAGTGCCTTCTCCAGATTTATTAGTGCCTTCTCCAGATTTATCATTTGATCCATTCAGGTCATTAGCTCTTTAGTTATATCTCTGAATTTGCCTAGGGCTTATTGAATCATGTTGTTACTTCCATTGATACCCTTTCAGACATTTCTTCTGTGTGGCTTGTGATTGCCATCTTTTGATGCCCCCCAGTTGGGTTTGGGAGGTTGGGAGTATTTAGAGGCATTTTATTGCCTTGTTTCTTTGTGTCTGTTTGTTTGTTTGTTTTCTGTGCTGAGGTTTGCAGTTTCTTTGGCCTAGTGCCTGGTCCTCTAGAACAAGCCACAGCATTATGACCCCTGGGCAATTCAGATACCGGCAAACAGAAAATCAATTGACAGCTCCAACTGTGTCACTTTGGCTAGTAAAGTCAGCAATAACAATGGTGTCAAAAATAAACTGGATACTGGTATATTCTAAGAACCACTCTTGAGCCACCTTTAATCAGAGGTCTGTGACTTTAGTGTGATCACTTAAGCAACCCAGATAATGATGTACAGTAAATCAGACTGCTAGTTTCTGCTCAATGTGGGTAATGATGCAAAAGCTCAAGAGACCGCTGGATTAAACGCCATCTCCTTCATACCTACCCCCTCTTGCATCCATCAAACTGGCCTCCTATTAAGGAATCCAGGGCCTCTCCTGTTCCCAGGCTGAGCCTGAGCTTCTCAGGGGATCTCAGGGATCTTTGTTCAGTGCTCACTGTCTTTAAGCTCATCTCCCCATGCTTTCTTTCAGCTGGTCTCGGCAGTGAGAGTAAAACTCTCCTGGGTGTTGGGTCTCATTCTCAGTCAAACTGGTTTTTTGGTTGAGGCAAACCAAGGTGCAGAGCCAGCTAGGATTTGGGTGTTTGGCCGCTCTTCTCTTCTCCTGCACCAGGGCCTGGCATCCAGGGTGGCGCAGTGCCTCTCTCCTCCTCTCCCACAGGGCACATGGCTATTGGTGGGACTGGGTGCAGGGCATAGCCTCTTGGCCCACAGTGCATCAAGGCAGCTGGTGTTGATGGTAAGGGTGGGTTGGGGCCTTTACTGAACTCTTTCTTGGAGGGAATTAAATTATTATGGAATTGTAAAATTTTTATGGAAGATAGTAGACTAAAAAATCTTACAAGCAGACTTCATGTTAGATGTCTAAAGTGTGGGATTGGGTTTTGCTAACTTATTTGGCCAATTAACTTCCCCTTACTTTAACTTCTAAATCTGCATCAACATCTAGGTCAGGATGACACTCTGCAGTCTCTTCAATGTGTTTTAAGATTACATTCTTCTTTCTGTTAAGGGTAGACTAAAAATAGAAATATGCCTGTTTAAAATGCTGTATATATAATTTAAAAATAAGTGAAAATGCAAAAAGACCAAGCGATAAATGAAATAGTACTATGGTAAAGGTTCATTTGGACACAGTTTAAGAAATGACCATTTCATCATTCCTCTGCTAAGGAAATACAGCAATTCACTGAGTTTCAGAGCTTGGTAGAGCTATACAGGTGATCTTCATTGTTTAAAGACAACTTGTTGCTATTGTTAAAACTCTTAACTTCTTCAATGCTTACATGTCAGATACTGAGATTAAGATACAGTTTTTCTAGAACGAAGCATGGTGGTATATACTTACAATCCCAGCACTCTTGGAGCCTGAGGGGGGATGATAGGAAATTTGAGCCCAGCTTGGATAGATTAGTGCCTTAACAAGACCTTATGGCCAATGGGGGAGGAGAGAATGGAGGGGAGGGGAAGAAAGGAGGAAGGAAAGAAGGGAGGGAGGGGAGGCCAGGCCAGGCCAAAGGAGTGGGGGAGAGAAAAGAAGGAAGAAAGAAAAGGGAGGGGGGAGAAGAGGAAAAGAAGAGAAGGGCAGGGGAGGAAGGAAGGATACAAAGAGTCAAAGAGGAAAGAAAGGGCTCTCCTATTACAGAGCCTGAAATGTATACAGTATATGTATATAAATATAGATGTATAGATGTAATTTTTCTAAGGGACATATTGTAGTTGTGTAGGTGAGAATGCCACTCAGGATGGATTTTTCTACAGCCCATGGCCATGTAGGCTCCATTAGTTTGTTCACCTTTCATAGAAGAACTTATGGACTTGATATCCAATGAGAACAGTCATTTCATTGGCACACAGTTATTATTTGCATTTATATTTATTTTTCTCTTTTTTTGTTATTGGAACTTTTACAAAATCAGAATGCAAACTTATGACTTCTGTTTCTTTTATTGTTGTAAAACATAATGTGCTTTCAGAAATGAAAACAAAAACATAGATATAGTGTTAAAAGTAATTACAAAGTAAATATCCAATAACTGTTATCCAGGTCAAAAATTGTCTCCTAGTGTATCCATTTCCTTAGCAGAAGAACTAAGCCCAGGCCCCATGCAAATGATCATACCTTAACTATGGTGTCTGAATGACTGTAATCTTTCTCCCAAAAGTTAACCACTATTTTAACTTTAGTGATCATCATTTGTTTGCAGCGTGACCACCTAGGTATACATTACTAAACACATCTCATTTTTAAAAATAAATTTCTTTCCAGAGATTAGAAATTGTTTAAAAGAAGGTCATAGGGTAGTGCTTAATAAAAGACACAAACTTCAAGAATTAATGTATAAAATTATTATGCTGATTCTAGTCAGCCAGTACTTTGAGCTGGGAGCAAATTTGTTATCAGTTTATTCCAGCTTTCTCCCATGCATCAATGTTGCATTAATATTTTCTAAATGTGAGATATGTCCAGTGGAATGAGTTACAAATACAATTCACTGTGTCATAATGCTCCCTTTCCCTCTTTTACAGCATGGGTGAGCTCTCTGTCCATGGGGATGATTTTCCTTTGCTGCCCTATAGTCAGCGTCTTCACAGACATCATTGGTTGTCGGAAAACAGCTGTTATAGGTGCTGCTGTGGGATTCATTGGACTCATGTCCAGTTCTTTTGTAAGGTAAGGATTTGGCTTCTTCATGTTCTTCATGTTGAAGAATTGTTAACCTTAAAATTTTCCTTTCAGAGAAGTCCTTCTAAGGAAGACCCTTACCCTGGTAACAAGGCCATATGACTTGTACATTGGACTTCCATGCATGGCAATAAGTCAGACTTGAAAATTTTAAAGGCTTTGTTTGCCATGCTAAAGATTTAGACATCAGCATAAATGTGTTCCCTAGAGCCAAGAAAATTCTATCTTCTTTCATGGTTTTCTATTTACAAGACAGTCCTAAAGTAATCAAGTTTTAACTGTGAGTTATCTAAGATAATGACCTTAGTTTTAAATTCAGCTCTGTCTGGGGCCCAAAGGGGAACAAGTGAGATTTTAATGTGGGTGTTTATAAGCTTGATACAAAAATGCTTTTATTAATGGAAAGAAGCCTCCTCATAATTCCAGCCTGAGAAGACAGTTTGTATTTTTAAAAAAGAACGTGCTAAAGTGTTTAAATATCATAGGAAAAGCAGTCAGATGGCATCTTAAGGGTCACCACACTTTCTCTGTGTTAGAAGAAAACTGTAGTGTACTGAACAGGGACCAACCACAAGGAGTTAATGCTGTCATTACTGTATGAAACAGCACCAGACCTGCATGGTTAGGCTAATTTGCAGAGAGAGAAACACTGGTTTAATTTGTAGCTTTGGTTAGCAGGGCGTGATCAACAAGAAGGCAAGATCATTTCCATGCCTTGTTTCTACTTCAGTGGTTTTATCTTCATGTCCTGTCTCCGTATCCTACTTATCTTCATGCACCTTTAGTTGAAAAATATGATTGTAGTCATTGTGTGGAGGGTGTCACATTTACATTTTTGCCCTGTTTATTTTTAAATTCTTTTGATTGGTGTTCAGTTAGCAGAAGTTCTTTATTTTATTTCCTTCCACTGTACTCACCCCTTCCTCAGATCTGAAGTGAGCCTCTTTCATACTTACTTGTGTCTAACTTAAAAGTGTTATTTTTAAAGAGAGAAATTCTACTTGGAATAGGATAATTTTAGGAAATTCTGTGCGATCATTTATCTTTAGTTCTGTTTGGCAGCATTATGACGTAGCGTTCCTAACACCTGCCTCGTTGGGTGTCTTTGAGCTGGGAGCCTCTACCTCCCCTGTGGGTACCGTGCCTTGACACCTGCCAAGTGCGTGCGCACTCGGGCTTTGGTGCCAAGAGCGGTGAGTGGCGGACAGCACGTCTCACCTGTTACCTGGCCCGGCAGACAAACCTCATATGGACAGCAGCAAATGCTGTTTTCCAAACTTTTGACCACTGACAAATAAAACAATGATTCGTATTTCATATTGTGACCCAGTTGTCCTTCCCCATCTAGAAGAAGCAAAATTTCTTGAAACTAGATTTTCCTTACCACACAAAGTGTCCCAGATTTCCTACTCAGTTTCATATTTAACCTGCTGGTAAAAGGCTGTCAGCTTCCGAGCAATATCCAGGAACAAGGAGAAATGTGGATAAGTTTTAGTATCAAATGGTGGATTCACTTTTCCTCTAGTTGCCTTTCTGCCTTCTCAGAAAAACCATCTCCTGCATCTTAGGTCGTATTACTTCCCTTCCTTGAACCCTTCTGCATGTAGACATTTAGTGTTTATATTGCTTTTGCTCAGTTGTCAGACCTCAGCGTATGTATCAGTTCTTATGAGGCAAATATGTAGAAGTAAAAGAGGCTCAGCCAGCACAAAGGTTACATACTTTCTTCTGAAGGAGAGATGTGAAGCTAATCTCATCAGGCGTGTAGCATTTTAAAATGTACTCAGAAGAATGTTTTGTGTGCATGCTCACACATATGATTATCTGCTCTTATAACTGACATTTTATTGTGATACTGTGGTATAACAGTTGATGTTTACAATGATTGTATTGTCAATACTGTTTTTAATATACACTTCAAAGTAGGCAAAGAAATGTATAATTTTTTTCTTTAAAAATTGTGATAATTTAAGAAGTTGCAGTTATGGAAAATTTGATGCAGAATAAAGTAGTATTTTTTTAATTTTTGCTATTTTTATTTGGGGTGGATGTCTTTTTACTATAAGCCCACAGTGGGTAGCTTGACGGGAGAACTGTATTTTGAAGTTCTTTTCCCTAAGTAGCAGGTACATGGTAGCTGTTTAATGCATCTGTTGAATAAAAAGTGGAGATGCACTGAAGGATGGTAAGAATGAAAGGGGATTAATCTGGGAGAACCTAGAAGTTCTTCTTGATCCTGACATAGACGTGGTTTTAGCTCCATTAATCGAAGGGGAAGGGCATCTCAGAAGTTGCTAACGTGCCTTAATTTTATCAGATTCTAGAATTCCTTGTAGACTACTTCAGCATATTGCTAGACTAGCATTACAGTCCAAAATTTAATTATTAACCAACTTTTTAATCTTACTTTCTAATAAATTGTTTGCCTTTACTGCTGATAAATTGCTTTTTGAATTTGACTTAACAAAAGTTTTGGTTTTCTTTTACTCTTTACCTTCATAGTTTCAAAGCACATAATTATATGATCTTTTGCTCCCTAAGAGATAGTAAAGTTATTTGGTTAAACTATAAAAATTTATTACAATCTTGTATTTTTTCGAGACCTACATAGACTTAACACTTAGGAACTGGGATCACTAATGAGCACATTTAATTCAGTCTTCCTGCAATCAGGATATGATTTGTTATCTTGCACAATCCTGGCAGCAGTGCAATACAGGGCGAAGGTTGGTCTGCAGCCCTTAGGCCAGCAAAAATGAGGCACGCCATTCTTCCATGCAGATGTCTTTGAAATAACCTTGGGAGGACAGTAGCACATGAACCTTTTCTATTCCTAGATCCCCTAGGAAGTACTTGAGAAAATTCCGTGAAACTATGGGTTTTCATAATTCCACAAAATGGTGGGTTTTTATAATTGTAATGTAAAACACTGAAACGAGATTGTATTAATTTAATCACTATCAGTTTTTCCAAGGCCCTTCCTGGCACTGACTTTTATTTCTGAGCTGTGGTGAGCACAGTTCTTATCCAGTACTGTGTGGTTCACCAGAAAACCGTAGAAGGGATGGCGAGACTCAATTACAGGTGAACTTAATGTTCATTTTTCACATATTTTCATTAAGTTAATTTTAGTGCTACTTTCTTAATGTATTAAGCCTTTCCCTTCAATTATTGGTTACTTTTATTTGCAGAAAATATGTTGATAGAGGTGAAACTTACTTTTACTGTAAGGTTTTTTTTTTGATTTTTTTTTTTTTTGGTCTTTTTCGTTTTTATCGGTACCAGGGATTGAACTCAGGACTGCCTGCTGGCAAGGCAGGCGCTTATGCCGCTGAGCTAAATCCCCAGCCCCAACTGTAAGGTTTTATACTACCAAGCACATGATAAAAATAATTAACACTGCTTTCCATCTTTTTTTTTTTTTTCTTTTTAATCTTTCCACAGCTCCATCGAGCCTTTGTACCTTACCTATGGGATCATATTTGCCTGTGGCTGCTCCTTCGCATACCAGCCCTCGCTGGTCATTCTGGGACACTACTTCAAGAAGCGCCTTGGACTTGTGAATGGCATTGTCACAGCTGGCAGCAGTCTCTTCACAATTCTGCTCCCTTTGCTTTTAAAGGTTCTGATAGAAGATCTGGGCCTCTTTAATACACTGAGAGTCCTCTGCATCTTCATGTTTGTTCTCATTCTAGCTGGCTTTACTTACCGACCTCTTGATTCCAGTGACAAGGATAAACAGAGCAACAGATTCTCCCTTTTTTCCAGGAAAAAATTCAGTCCTCAAAAAAAAATTTTCAATTTTGCCATCTTCAAGGTAACAGCTTATGCCGTGTGGGCAGTTGGAATACCACTCGCACTCTTCGGCTACTTTGTGCCTTACGTTCACTTGGTGAGTACACATCTTTGAGTCTGCTGGTAATAGATACTATCATTTTCATACTGAGAAAATTCCTTAGAAGAAGAAGATAGACCAGGGTGAAGTTGGTCAGTTGTAATCTGGGGACTGTTGAAATTATAGCTTCCAGGAGCTTGGCACACTCTTTGTAACTTTGCACCTATGTGGTGTCAGTGACACAATACACTGTATATATAGATATATATATATGTTAAATGTAATAAAAAAAAAAAAACATTGTGGTCAGGAGATTGGGTTAAAATATCAGAGGAAAATATCAAGGACAAGCATCAAGACACATTGGTATTCATGGGACAGGAAAAAGAAGCCAGCAAAGAAACTGACTGTGTAACCCAGGCTGGCTTTGAATTATAGGTGTGCACCATAACATCTGGCCATCAAGACAAGTTTTTTAAACTTTAGCAATGCTAATGAGGCCACAAGTCAGTCCTGAAATGTACCTGAAACTTGACCAGCTGGACCACTGTCTTCACGCTGGAACTTTGCTAGATAGCTTTTGGGTGAGAGCACAGAACACAGAGCCACATCAGTCAGGTGATTAATAAATGCCTAAAAATGACAATTATGATTTAGCTTTCTGGTATGAAATATCGCGTTCTCAGTATGAAGATGGTTATTTCATTTCAGCTGTTTCGTACGTACCCCTCCCATACTAACGTCAGCTGTTCTTTGACTGTCATCATTGGAGCGGGCTCTGATGGCCACACTGTGATCTAAGCACTGTGGGTGACAAAATAGGCGGATTGGGAGTTTGACCCAGCCTGGCAACTTAGTGACTTTGAGAGTTCCATTTTTTAACAAAGGGCTGAGAATGAAGCTCAGTTGCAGGCCCCGGGTTCAACCTCCTGTGTTGCAAAACAAAGCAAACAAAATGCATACCACTGGGTCCAGTTTTGGTTTTTATGCTGTAAAACCTCACAGTGCTCATTCAAGATGATGACTGCCTCGTAGATGACTGCCTCGTACATTAACATCTGTAACATAGTGTTCACTAGCTGGTTTTTTTTTTTTTAATCCGTAATAAAAAAAAAAAGTAAGTGGCGTGGTTCTGGGACAGATAGCTCTCAAAAGAAACTTTGACCTGGCTCTCTCTCTACTTGTAAAATTAATGACAGTCATTTGCCTGCTGACAGAGCAATTAAGTGGACCCCTTAAAGTGGACTTGTAATTGGGAGTTGTGTTTTTAAAGTAGAAATGAACTTTTGAGGCAGATAAGTCAATAACTGGGCAGCATAGTATACTAGGGGATATTTTTAAGCTTTGAGTAGCACCAAATGCTAGAATGTGGTTGTGAAACCTCACTTGCTAGAGCACCTGTGATCACGTGGTGGTCGGGGTGGGAATCTTGCGTCAGCTACAGTGCAGGTGCTGGACCTTGCAAACAGGAATGACGAACAAACTTCCACCTGTTTGTGGCTTTCTCAGAGGAACATTTAGGTAGCACGACACGAATAGATCAGGGGTCAAGCATTTTCCCAAAGTCACCTGTAACTATCAGCAAGAGGAATGTAATAAGTGTAATAAATAACATACTTAGTGCTAAGTAAAACTGTGCATGTTGAGTTATACACAAAGCCAGAATTTGGAACATGTTCTTGGAACTATGAAAATCCCATGGTTTTTTATTTGTTTGTTTTCTTTGTTCTTTTCATTTTTTTCTCCTTCCCACCCCTGAGACAGGGTCTCACTTTGGTAGTCCAGGCTGGCCCTGAACTCATGGCAATCTTCCTGCCTCAGCATCCCAAGTGTTGGGATTACAGGAGTATGCTCCCATAGCCAGCTTTCCTGTATTCTTTTTATGAAAGTATCTGCTGTTCTTTCATCCGATCACTTCAGAGATAGACGATGGAACTTCCATTTTCAGCCGTGCTGGGCCTAGACCAAAGAGCTTTGCCTTACAAATTTTTCGTCTGATTTCTCAAAACCAAGATTAGGGTCCACGCTGAATTGTTTAAGCACTTGGGACATGGTTTGCATCTCGGGAAAGGACTCAAGAGAAAACAAGCTCTTGTTCTGCTCTAATGGGAGTAAGAAGTTATTCATTGTCAGGTGGCCTTCTTCCCGCCCCTTCATCTCGTAGTTTGATTTCTAGTACATTGTGAATATAAAAAAATGGTGGCCATACAAAGGGATTTTTCACAGCCCATGGCAAGCAGAATAAGGAAAACACAGAGTTTCATGTTCAGTTTTGTTTTCTATACTAGGCAGAAAGCATAGTAGAACAGCAAACTTGGGCACATGCAGATTTACAGCAAAATTCATCTTATATTTTATTAGCATAATTATCATTATAGGAAATTGCTTAAAGTTTACAGTCACATACAAACTCTGCAAGGCCACGTATTGATCATTAGTCTCCTGAGAGGACCCTAAAGAGTTAGAGTCATGATGGCAAATGTCTTAGGAACAAAGGCTCAGACTGCAGCCCAGAACCACTTAATTTATTACCAAGTGTCAACAGTGCAATTAAACCTAAAGACTGAGGTGTTAGTTTGAGGGAGAGGGGAGAAGCCTTATACATTCACATCTTTTGTCTTAAAAGAAGAACAAATAACATGTGTTAACATTGAAATGTTACTGATTTTTTAAATTTAAGTTTATCATGTTTTATTTGATCAAATGTAGCATATTTTTGAATAATATCAAACTTCAACTGTAATATGAATATCTGCTGGTATCTCAAATTGTGAGATTAGTATCAAGGTCTTCTCAAATTTGAGGAGCCTAAATCACGCTGAAGAGATTAAATGAACTGTTGCCAGGTATGGTGGCACACACCAATAATCCCAGCTCTTGAGAGACTGAGGCAGGAGGATTACTGGGAGTTCCAGGCCAGCCTGAACTGCGTAGTGAGACCCTGTCTCAACCCCTAACGAAGTTATAATATAGATGAATGGAGGTAGAAACATTAACTTGCAGCAGCTTCTCTTTGTGGGTCTCTGTCTGTCTCTGCCTCTCTCTCTGTCTGTCTCTCTGTCTCTCTGTCTGTCTCTGTCTCTCTCTCTCTCTCTCTCTCTCTGTACCAGGGATAGATCTCACAATCTCGCACTTGCCACTCAGGCCCTGTGCTCTGAGCTGTATCCCCGGCCCTCGCTTCCCTTTTTAAAGCTTGAGTTGGATATTGTTTTTTGCCAACATGTGGCAGATCGCTTGGGGTGGGGGGAGTTGCCTGATCCATTGGAAATACATTTGTCCTTGTCCCCTAGTACTGGAACACCTTTTTGGAGGGCTCCCACAGTCCCTAACTCTAAGGAATGCAGAAGAGAAGAAGACATGTCTGCGTGTTCGTGCTTCACAGAGAGGACAGCTCAGGAACTGCACAGCCAGCTGCCCGTGTTGCTGTCCATTTTCCTATTCCTGTCATAGTGTGTCTCCCCCTACCCTGCCCGCCATGCGCCACTGTGGTAGAGCTGACTTAGAATCAGGAAGTTTGTATTCTGTCATAGCATGTTGGAAGAAGTCTTTTTGATTTGGAAGTGTAAAATTGCAAATGCCGTAGCCATGCAGTTCAGCTATTTTTGCAGTTTGGGCAGACTGAACTGATTTTACGCATAACATGACAATAATAACCATAGAATCTAGGCTTCAAAGCAGAGCTTACAAAGAGAAGGTTTACTTTATTTGTTTTCTATTTTTTTAGTCCACATGTGTAGTACATAACATTCATCTTGGGAGATTTGTACACGTATATTACACATCTTCATTTTTTTGTCCCCTTTCCCTCCCTCCAACCCTTCTTCACATTTCCAAAGCTCTATTTCCATTTTTTCTTTAAATTCCTTCTCTCTCCTTCTCTTCTCTCATCTTATTTCCCTTTCCATTTATACAAGTTTTTCCTACTTCATAATATCTCTGCCCTATTTTGCTCCTTATTTATACTTTGGATTTTTCACACAAAGTAAGTAATACAATATTTAAACTTAATTGATTTCAATTAAGATTAGGGTTTAGGGCTGGGGATTTAGCTTAGCAGCATAAGCACCTGCCTTGCAAGCAGGCAGTTGTGAGTTCGATCCCCAGTACCGATTAAAAAAAAAAAAAGATTAGGGTTTCAAGGTGCATCCATTTACTTTAAAATGTATCAAATTTATCCTTCTTTATGGCAGAATAATACTCTACTATATGTAAATGTCACATTTTCTGTATCCAATCATCTGTTAATGGACATATATAGGCTGCTTCCAAGATTTAACCATGCTGCTATAAATATGGTATGCGTGTATCACTGTAACGCAATTCCTGTAATTCTTTTGGGAAGATACCCAGAAGGGGACTATCTGGGTCAAATCAAATCTCTAGTTTTAGTTTTTTGAGGAATCTCTAAACTGCTTTCCATAATTGCTGCACCAGTTTGCACTCCCACGAATAATGGCGAAGGGTTCCTTCTGCCTCAAGCTAGAGTTTACTTCAAACTATAATCCTCTCTTCCTTCATTCAATTGGTTCCAGACAGGGTGTTGCTGTGCAGTTGAAGCTGACCTTGAATTCACTGTATAATTTAGGCTGGCCTCAAATTGACAGCGATCCTCTTGCCTCAACCTCCCAGTGCTGGGATTACAGGCCTGCACCACCAGACCTAGCCCATAAATTTCTTTTAAGCAAATGTAATGTTGTTTCTCCCCTTTTTTTAAAAAAAAATCCATAGGGAAATACAAGCTTATTACAACTAAATGGTTAACATCTGTAAGAAATGGAATTAGTAAACCAGGCATAGTAGCACATGCCTATAATCTCAGCATCCTGGGGAGAGCATTTCAGTGTGAGCCTATCCTAGGTAATTTAATGACTTGGTGAGATTCTTTCTCAAAATAAAAAAATAAAATAGGGCTGTGGGATGTAGTTCAGTGAGGAGGTCCTGGGTTCAACCCCCAGGACTAGGGGCAGAAAAGAAATGAAATTATTGGAGGAATGAAATTATTTTTTTATTTATTCCTGGTTAATTCAATCAGGAGATTGCTTTGACAAGAGTCCAGT